ATATACATGTATATATATACAAATTATTTTAATTGTTATTATTTTTATAGTAATTTATAGTAATATTAAGTATTTATTATTCTAATATTTATTTGTGTTTAATTTCCGCGTTTCGCACGTTCAAATTGAGCGTCATTAAAAAAAATCAGCTGATAATTGGAACGTTGCGTTGGCGGAGGTATCAGCGGTTCACTTTGGCATTTCATGTCGAGAGACGTGGTTGTAGAAGTCCTTCAACCTGATGATGAGCTAAAAGGCACGAAATCCGGATCGTTCCTAAACAACTTGAGTAGGAACTATCCTTTTAAAAAGTATTGAACACCACACTCACTCCATCATTTATCATTTCTATAGAAAATGGTTCTTCGGCCCTTCAGAAAAAAAGGCTTACACTAGAAGGCCAGGACAAGGTCGACGATAGATTCATTTATCATCAGGCTCTACGAAACCGCAGCATTACTGCAAATGAGATAAGAAATCTGATAAGTCCGAATTGTTTCGATTCCCTCTAGGACAGGGTCCGGGACCCGGGTCGTAGTCCTATTCTACGCCACAGCATAGAAAATGGCCAGACTTCAATTCATACGGGAAGTTTTTATATTTATTAAATAATGTACGCATAAAACGTGAACTCGGGATACAAGACTAAGATGTGTATTTTCATAAGAAATTAATAATCTGGGAAAATATTTCAACTATTACAATTGAAAATTTAAAAATATTAGGATTAAGTGTTAATAATAAGAAAGTGCTTCAAGAGTAACTGGTCTTGCAAGTTTTGTTGATTGACCAAAATCGGAATATAATTGGCCTTCATGCTAAAAATATCCTATATGTAAAATCGAAATAGTCCAAAAAAAATTTAAGATTCACCTCTTACAAGGGAGGTTTTACTGGCAACCAGTACTGGTTAACAATGTCCAATTGGAAAATTAAATTTTTTAAGTTTAGACCAAAGAAGAGTTTATATAGATTTGACATTCAATGATAAACATTTAAATAAAAAGATTTACTGTTTTCTTTAAGGTTTAATGTGCCAGCATGTCGTACAAGACATAATAAAGTATTGTAAACAGGAGTATAAAAATATTTCGTTTGTTTACTCCGGTAAAAATTTATGTACAGAACATGTGAATTTG